CCCCCCCCCCCCCCCCCCACACACACACCGTAAAATGCCATCTGATCAAGATTGTCACTTCATTACATTAAATAGCTTTTAAACGATTTTTCCTCAGCATATGAACCTGCTATATTTGCAGGCTCCCTGGTTGTCTTTGCTACTTAGTTTGAAAGATACTTTACCAAGTGTGATAAATCCTTTAGCACAAATCCAAGAGAGCCAAATTTTGCTTTTTGCCACTCATTTTAAAGATTCAGATTTGTTTTCTTCTTTTGCAACTTTAGGTTCTCAACACTACATGTATAACTTAATGAAATATACATTTGCCAGTAAACACAAATGATGATTCCCATACTCATAACTTTAATACAAACTGTTACTGTACAACGAATGTTTAAATTCCACGAATAACGATGAATATCGTATAAGAATGAAGAACAAACAACAAACATGATAATATTACAACTGTTTTAACTCTGGGTTGGTGTTATGTTACAGGGTGTCATGTGACCATTACATCACTAGTTTAAAACAATAGGCAAATGGCATACGCACAAAACAATCCAACAAAGCTACCAACGCCCACACACGAGTGCCGTCATAGTGAGTAACAGGAAATGCCTCCTAAACACGTCTTCAGAAATGTGCCAACCTAAACCAGAAATTGTCTTTATGACGTCACCAGTCAAAGCAGATCACAGCGAACCCTGAAGGCCCTCTTATCGTGCCCTGATACCGTGAATCAAAGACCAACCGATCTGTCGGCCTGTGGCGTCATCTGGACCATTTCCAGTTCAAAATAAATGCAGATCTGAATATTAGATGCAAATGCAAATGTCTACTTGTAAGTGCTCTATACTTTATAATCACCAGCTATTTTCTTTGCATCCATTTTCTTTCTTCAGTCGAAAAATTGCTAATTATCTGACGAAGTGAACACAACATGCAATACAGGCATATTCTAATATAAACAAATCAAAAAAACTTGTTGGCTACACACAGAGAGATTTTACGCAGTCTAAAATGTCTTAACGTTCAGCCTTAAATAAGCAGATCCATTTAGAAAATGATGTGTGAACCCTCCAAATTAAGATATTTTAAATATTTAAATACACAACAATGTTGAATGCACCTGCACAAATAGTAACTAGCGCAAGTAAAAATGCAACAGAACATTTATCATAAGCCTGTCCCGTATTGCACAACCCCTTAAAGTGAGATTACATGTGTATTCAAAACTAGTCTAACTTAAATTTTAAAAAAAAGTCTGCAATAAATGACATCATCACACTGGCAGCAAATGAGAGGGTCCAAAAGGGACCCCATACCTACTTGAGATAATAAAATTTACATACATAGCAGTCCAAAGACTAATTCTGAATTTTGTTTCACCAGTCATTAATGAGCCTTACTGTTTTCCTCTTAATACATGTATAAATTGCACTAACTTTACAAGGTGAATTATCTAATTCACCTTGTTGAAGTATCTACTTTCCAGTATACATAGACTTGTCAATTGGTCATGTAATCATTAATATGAGAACAAAAGGCTTTCAAAAAGTTTACAGGCATAAGGTGCGAATTATTGGTGCAAAATGACCAATTATAATTTTGATTTTTTTTTAGTATACTGCTGTTTTTCTCAGCATCTCACAATTATAAATACAGTTTTCTTATATCAAATTTCAATTTTTTTTTTACAGTTAAATTTTTGTTACCATGATATTTTCCTTTTAAAAACCCTGAACTCATTTGCTTTTGAAGCAACAAAAAGTGCCTCTTATGCTTTTGACCAAATCAAAACTCTTTGCATGTTAATAAGGTCTAACTAATTCACTTTATACCAAAGATAAGTAAAGCACAACTAGATATCAAACAAAATGGTTTTCCTAGCTGAATAAACACTGAAAAATGGTCAGTGAACAATTCCTTTCTTGCTAGTAAGTTAATTACTTATAACAGGGATATGAATATGGATCGATACAATTAAATGAATAAAATATCAAGGAAATAACAAAATTCCATTTAAAATGGGTGTGGCAGGAGCTCAGTGATAAGACTATTGACAGTCTTAAATAGATCTTGTACATATCATCAAAATGGTCTTTATTTGGAACCCTATCTTTTTTCTGCAAATCTACATTTTGACCCTCTTCGAGCTTTAAAAAGTGAAAGAAGTTGTCATATCTATACACAAGTTCAACAACGGTTGACTAAAATGTTGGCGTTTTGGTAAAAAAAAAAAAATCATGATGACTCTTTTGTGCAACATATGGTCTCAGTGCACTACTATGAGTTTCCACTGCACAGATGTGAAATACTTACACAAATTGTGAAATGTATCCTACAAATACATAATTGTTAAAATTCTTTAACATCTCACTCATTCCAATACTTCACTTTTAATAATTTAACATCTAACATGAAGATTACTGCCTTTTCTACATTTACTGAGAAATCACCAAAACCCTAGCTGTCCATAACCTTATCACTGAACTCCTGTGTTTGGAATGGGTTGACATATGTGTACAGTTATTCCCCTCTAAATATAGACAAGATATTTTCCCTTCCAATAAAAGATGTAATCCAACCTTAATACTGAGAGTGGTGAATCTGAAATCAGATTGCTGACACAATAACTCCTCACTATCAAGTAATAGTGCATTTAGTAACTGTTACAGATGAATTTAAGTGAACTTGAGTGTTTTCAGACTTAACCTTTCTCCCTTAAATATACTCTTTTGTGACACAACACAAGAGAATAAAGCAATTCTAAAAAGAACATTTTCTACAAGTAAAATTCTTTTAAAAATATTTCATGTTCAATACACTGAGCACAAAAAAAGGATATTTATTAAAGAATTTTTTTCTTCACAGATGACTTGAGATTCTGTAGCTTTATCATTTTTTTTTCTGTCCCACCAAGAGATGCGATACATTATGATCAGTTAACTAAGTTTAAGCTACAACTTAGTTCTTGATCGAAAAATATGTATACAGCAGTTTAAACTACTGTCTCAAATGACAATTATGTTAGCCTTCCAATTCACAAATTTCACTAATATAATATATTATATTGACCAATCCTGAAATAATCACTAAATGAAAGAAAAAATAACTTAAAATGTTAATATTTTAGGTAAAAGAGTTAAATTTACTGTACAAAAGTCATGTGAAAAGACAATGATATCAGGTGTGTGTGTGTGTGTGTGTGCGTGTGTGTGTGTGTGTGTTGGTTGAGGTGGGTGGGGTGTTTGGATCTGACCTTGTACAGTAATCTGGTTTTGTGCCATACTAGAAATGCAATTCCATTACTTATATATAAAATCAAATACACAGCATAATAGACATTCAAAAATTAGCTATATAAACCAATCAATTAGATCACAATGCATTATAATACATGAAGGTAAACTGGGACCACTGTTAGAGCTCAATGCCAAAATTAAAGTCATAAAAAAATTTATCAAGTAAATGGCTAATTGTGTTAAGACAAATAAGATAAATAACATACAGATCTTTCATATTTGTGACCACAACAGACAGTGTATTTCTATGTAAAAATGGTATACTTTCCTATGCCTAAATGTATAAAAATATGACATATTTATGGTGAAAATATGTTCTACATGTACAAACACTATGTTTGAGAAAAAGACTGCTGATACAACATTACAACCATCACAGTGACCATATAAACAGCATGTCTTCACTTTTCCAAGAGGATATTCAATTTTCTTTAGAAAGTATACTAATAATACTCAATATTATACCATTCATTAAAATAGGCACCCAATGTAGGTTTGCTTGATATTCCCACAAGTCTAATTAATCTGAGTACAATGTAAAGAAAACAAAAAGATAACTCACAACACATCTTATATATTTAAATCCTGGATAACTTGAATGATGACTTTGTAAACAATTTTTCGATTAGTTTTGGGCTTTCTGGCATTAGAATTTGATATATTAGTTTTTCTATCATTAACTTTTTATCATTACAACATCAGGCATTATCACTGTCAGAAATGACAGAAGGGAATGTGGTGAGAAGACAAAATTACATATAGTGACATCTAGTGTTAAAATTCCTTTCTCCACTGTGGTGATACCTACTGTTCCGTAATTGAGAAAAAGGCTGCCATTTGGTGTTTTTTAATGGTGTATGTGTAGCCCTCTGGTGTTCTATTAGAACTAGGGAACAGCACAATACTGGTGCACATTTTGTGGTGGGGTTTGTTAATAAAGACAAAAATTTATCAAAAGTTTCACGTCTTTGCGAAGAACTCAATCAAAATGCCTTACTGGTACACATATTTGGTTATTTTCATCTCCTCTTTTCTCTACATCCAGACCACAGCATTGACGATTCCCAATTCCTGATTTCCTTACATGCCTCCATCACAGGGCATCCTTACAGACCTCAGCCTTGTTGAAGTACCCTACCAAGCAAGGACACGGCAAGCTGTATCGAAAGGATGAAGAGGATGCTGGGAGCCATCAATCCGCAGCCTCGGCACTTGTCATATTCCTCCTGAATGAGATAAAGAGATTTATGAACATGTGACCCAAACTCATGACAAAATTCACGTAAGACTAGAGATAAAGTTCCTGATAACAAATCACAACAGAGAATAAAACATGAATCACCAAGACACACCATATTGAAATTTCTAGATAAATTAATTATTTTGCAATTTACAGGTCTAACGCACACTATAGGACTTTGAGAAACAATTTTAAAGATTAATTGTTGTACTCACCCTATCATCGAAGTCATAGCAACCCTGTGGGCGCAGGCGATACCTTGGTGACCGCGATGCTTCACACACACCAGGACCACCTGCTGGAACGTCTGGGTCTAGAAAAACAGATTTATAGAATGTACCGGGGCTGTTTAAGAGAACAGGGCGAATTAATCAGACATTTAATTTTTGGTTAAAAATGCCCATTTGCCACACTTTGACATGGAGTTCAAGACTCGATATCAATTATTTAGCAAAACTAATCAATCTGAAGCCAATTCTCATCAGTGGGCAATTCAATCAATTCTTATCAAATAAATCTGGTAAAAACTCATCTGTTTATTTTGAGAACTATAAACCACCATGTAAAAGATGCACAATTCATGTAAAATTCAATCAGTGGTATTGTGTTTTGCAGCCCTACCTTCACGTGTGTCATATGGGCCTCTCTTGGGTTCTGGAGACAGGGGGTCACATTCTGGTCCACAAGGGGGCTCTGCTACCACAAGCAGAAGATTGGTGCCAGTAATCTTTTCCACAGAGTACTGCCTAGAATAAGAAATAAAGAAAGAGTTCAAAATTTCTATTTAAAAATGCTGCTACAAATGCAATGAATGAATGAATGATTGAAAGTTAAGTTTTAGAAACTTGTGTATTGAAATTGTGCATGCAGGCACACAGAAATGCTAGATCACTTAATCACTCATGCACATACTCAGCCATAACCACAAAGGCACATTTGCACGCACACACACTATTTTGGACCATACCTTGTGCAGTTTTCACAGACAAGTTCAGAATAAAGTGATGTGACATCTGTGAAGTAGTATTGAACTTGCTCCGTAACGCAACTCTCATTCTTCTCGCTGCCACCATCTCCTGGGTCTTGTTGGGCATATGCTGGGAAGGGTACAGATTATAAAATGTTAGCAGCCAAAATCACAGTATAAGCTACATTAAACGCCTGAATATCCATAAAATATATAAAAACAGTGGATCCAGTCCCGTCTCCTTTTTATAGATAATGCAAACTTAACTACTCTTTTCTCAACCTCAATAAAAAGAAAAATATAAAAAGCAATATAACGTATATGACTGACAATATTCAGTGGGTCAAAATAATGAATAATATACAAAGAGAACATCCAATTAAATGATATGTAGATTATGAAAACACTGCAATTAAAAAGAACACTCACCAAAACTCTTTGCTGATTCAAATATCCAACTGAAAATAAAATGCACTCTATCTGAACACACTGCAGATTGACACATAAGACAAAAGTAGTTAAACAGGCCTTCCCAACTACCAGACTCTGCACATAAGGATCCTGAATTAACCGGTATATCGGACCACACTACCCGTTTTCAAGGTGTGTGTCAGATCGCATTTCAGAGTATCAGTCAGAACACCGACAGGATGAGCCGGCGGTTGTCCTACAAAAATTGTTCTGGGGTATAATACTCCGAAATGCGATCTGACACACACCTTGAAAACTGGTAGTGTGGTCCGATATACCAGTTAATTCAGGATCCTTATGTGCCGAGTCTGGTAGTTGGGTAGGCCTGTTAAAGTCAATTAAAGAAATTAGTGCATAATCGTAAAATTGTCCTGATAAAGATATGTATGTAATATTTATAATCCATTAATCAGATCATCATTTCTTTCTTATCTCAAAATTATCTATTACCATTATTTCAAATAAAGTTTAAGTTTTACTTAAATCAAAGAATGAAAATGGTTTGCACTTTCTTGAAGGTATCGATCTAAAAGAGATTCTAATCTTTTATCTTAAAAAAAACACAAATAACTCATATTATATGTCAACATGTCACTAACTTACTTGTACAAGTTGAAATTTGAGTATGCCCTAAAACAGACATTATTAAGTAACATAAGTACCTTTCATGAAGAAAAATGAGTACAACACAATCAAGTGAGATTATGGTGGATATAAATAAAATGCCTTGAAAGAGCCTCAACACATCTCCTAAAAACCTGATAGGCCTTCATCAGAAATTACAATAATATAAATTCATGGCACCAAAAACACTTTCATTAATTAAATATAAATTGGTTTAAACTGGTTTCATGTCTTTACAATGCCATCCATGAATCTGTCAATTTTGTATTGGAAGTTCATTTGAAATAATCCTTAATCATTTCTAAATGGTAAGAGCTTAAAATGAAAGTGAAACTGACTCACCACATCACACTGCTTGTCCACCATTTCACTGTCAGCATTTCAAACACTGGAATGCTGGGCTATCAAGGCAAAGAAACAGTTGCAATAACGGTAATGATTCCTAACTTTAATATTCAGAACATCTTTATTTGTTCCAATATTATTTTTTCTTTAAACCAACTCTTTAATTTGTCAAAGTAATGTAACGTGAGCTTACTTTTCTTTTAATCCACTTTTTATTTTCAATTTAGTGTTTTACTGGTAATAAATAGTTATTCCGGAATATAACATTAATCAAATTTGCTCAAATTTATTGAAAGAATATTTATAAAAACACAACGTTTCATAAAATTTATCTGCTAAAAATTAATAAATGATACAAACACAAAGCTGCCCTTGAACATTAATTTTTCAGAGCATATTTTTTTACATTCCAAATTAATGCAGCATGAAGATATTCTGGGGAAAATATGTAAATTCCAACTGTTTTTCAGTGACTTACAATGAAGAACGATCTTGGTCCAGCACTTGTTTTGAGTTGCAGCTGTTTACATACACCCTGCCAGTCATAGTTCTGTACCCTAGAAAACAGGACATAAATCGCTTCAGTGAAAAAAAAATCTAATTCATAGAACGCTTATTGTCCCATTTTACTATTAGAACACCATTCCCAAATTCCACCTGTTTTTTTTTCATGCCTTCCAATTTCTGTGTAGAGGTAATAGTTCTTGAAACTTATTTGTTGTAAAAATATTCACACTAATAAATCTATGACAATCCTCCCTTCATATTTAACAGCTTAAATTAGGCTTTTTCTGACTAAGTCCCTTTTTTGCCAAATAATAATAAAATAACAACACAATATGAAGATAATTCATACTAGCCATGGTTCACCACCCACCTGTTATAAACAGGACTAGATCCATTATAGAGTTCCATCATCAGGGCCGGCTCTGTTGCACCAAAAAAGCGTCCAATCTGGAATAAAATGGTTTCCACCATACATTATATAAATGTTATCACTATACAGTTATATAAATTCTCTCAGTAATTGCAGGTTCTAATCAATTCAAGTGACATCCCTGTTGCTTTCACTTTAAGAATATCTTTTTAAAAGAAAAAAATAAATAAAACCAACAGATCAGCCCCATACACACATTTCACGAGTCCCTAAACAGTTGACTTGGTCTTCACCTTCCTTCTAATTGGATGATATAGTCAGCATCCCTAAACTATTCTTTCTCCTGATTGGCAGACACGGTCAATGCTACTTACCTCATCTTTTTCCTGATTGGTTGACACAATGAATGCTCCATCATCAATGAGATAACAGAAGAGGGTCAAAGAGAGATCAGAGCACTGTCCTTGGCTGGTATTGTTCATCAATTCAGTCAAGTATGTCTGGTGCATCTTGGCTCCAACCACTGGAAATTTGATTTTACGATCACCAGTTAAGGATGTATGAAGTTACTCTATTATTCCTTTTTTTTTTGCAGATTAGTTAGTTTCATAGTTAATTTTCTCTGATTACCAAAGATAAAATGATCTCAAAATTGTACAAAAAAGCAGAAACCATAATGACTGGCAATTCATTTCGTCACATATTTATAAAAATAAGCCATGTAAATACAATTTACGTTAATTTGCATATTTTTACAATGCTATTGATTTTCCATCAATTCAAGAGCTATCCTCCATAAAAGGAATCTCAGAATAGTACTATTTAGAAAGACACTACAACAGCATAGGTATATAAGAAATGCTTGATAAAATGGATCACTGTCAGCACTGTCAAATTAAGCTGAAAATCCTGTGTGCGTGTGAGCATGTGTTTGTGTACGTATATGCGTGCATGTACTGTTCCATGTGAGTTTATGCATATAGGCATGTCTGTGTGTGCATCTGTACCAAAACATATCTGAGTATTTATGTGCATAGGAATGTATATTTTTGTGTGACTGACTGTGTACTATTATGTGCGTATGTCTCCATGCATGCATATTGTTCTCTACGCAGTCTACAGACCTGCTGGTTTATATGTATTGCCACCCTTTTCCGTCATGCTAATGGACTTCATGACACTGACCACTGGACCAGTGGTGTTGGGGTCATTGTCCTTTACTGAAAAGTGGTCAAAGTTGATTCAATTATTTGTGCATACTTTTGCAGCATTCTCTTTCACCCTTTGTTGTACACCTAAATGCCATTTCTATTCACACACTTAAGTGACAGAACTTGGAAATAAATGACTTTGTTCTTTTTCTGGCTTCTAAGAGGGAAAAATCAATTCAGTTTGATGATGAGCAAATACTCTAGAATGGATTCTATTATAAACTCATACCCAGGACCGTAATACTGATTCATAATGTTATTTATTAAAACAGATCTGCATGTGACCTTACTTACCAGCTTTGTAAGGCGCTGAGAAAAGCACATGGTCCTCATCAATTGCCCTCTTGTATTCCTGGTTCTCACGAGGGTTGGCCATATTCAGAAGCTGTTCTGTCATACTGAAGTGTTCAATATATACAACAGTAACATATACCAGGGTATATATAGGTATATAGACTATGTACACAACAGCAGATTTGACTTAAATTCTGAATAACATTCACATGAATCTGCATTATTAAACAGAAGCCTTTTTAATAAAATTCTGAGGAATCAATATTATTTTCATTACTAAACAGCAGAATTCCTACTCAAATCATATTCACAGTATACTTCCACATGAGACAAATTGCAATCTTGTGGTCAATTATGACCCACTTACTTATGAGGATAGAGCCTGGTCAGTCCACTGTTTGTGGAAACAAAGACAACCTCTGTGGCAGACCTAGAAAACAAGTTACTACCTCTTCAAAATTTTAATCAGAATCTGAAAATAAGACAGCTTAATATTTGCAATTAACTAAAATATATAACAGCAGCATTAATAATAAAAATAATATCATTTTTGGCATTAACATTATGAATTTATTTTACATATTTTTCCTAATTTGTTTAAGTTATATTCAATGTTGCCAGAGTGAAAGTGCAATAAAATTTAGGATGTCAAATTCCTCTGTCACAGCAATTTCTCAAAATCATCACTTGTCAATTTTTTTTATAATAATTCACAATTTTTCTTGACTCTCGAAAAAATGTTGAATCCAACTCAACAGCAACAATTTTCCAATTAAATTTTGAGGTAATTAAAGAAGGCAACGTTTTGGGAAAATATGAGTCATCAATTTAGTTTCAATTGGGTTAAAATCACCACAAAGCTTACTTGTATGCCTGAGACAAGGCCTTCCAATGTTCAGTGACATTCTGGGTTATCACGTAGTCCCACAGGAAGTGCTGGACAAGATCGTCATTGCCTAGGAAGAATATTAAAACACGTTTTCAAAAATAACGCTTTACTTCATTTAATATCTGTACAAAATGTTTCAAGAGTTTCACCATACTACACATGATTAAGGGATAAAGTTCACATTTTTTTGTGATGCAGATTTAATATTTTCAATATGTAGGGCATTCCCTACTACATCAAATGAATGTTGGAGATTTAATGCTTTCAGTGGTCATTAGGAATATCATATGTGGCAAACTTCCCAAGAAACAGCCACTAGATGGCAGTCAAGTCATGACCAGTTAAAACAAAATTTTATGTGAATTCCAGGAAGGTTATGCATTGTTATCTCTAAAATTGGGGGCGAAGATGATTGATGATGGTGAAATTGTTGACCTACTAATTATAATCTTTGCCAGTAAAAAAATAAATTTAACCAACTTTGCTGAAAAACCACTCACAAGAACTGCTCCCATTCACCATGTCCCTGACTGGGTTTGGAGGAAATGTCTCCGTGTCATTGGTATTGTTATAATTGTCAACAACAATGTCCTTAGAGTTACAAATCCTGAAAATATCCAATAATAACTAGAGGATCAGAGAGGCGATACCGCCTCCGAATATTGTACCACCAGCTGGAGCAAGCGCATTCGTATAGACCCCCACATACACAAAATAAGGGACACAGCCACCAGTTTTGTGCTTGACAAGCTGTAAAAATGCAATCAACAAGAATTTTTAAACTTTTGCAAAAAATACATATGGTACAATCAAATTTANCCCACACACACACCATAAAATGCCATCTGATCAACATTGTCACTTCATTACATTAAATAGCTTTTAAACGATTTTTCCTCAGCATATGAACCTGCTATATTTGCAGGCTGTCTTTGCTACTTAGCCTATTGCTACTGGTTGTCTTTGCTACTTAGTTTGAAAGATACTTTACTAAGTGTGATAAATCCTTTAGCACAAATCCAAGAGAGCCAAATTTTGCTTTTTGCCACTCATTTTAAAGATTCAGATTTTTTTTCTTCTTTTGCAACTTTAGGTTCTCAACACTACATGTATAACTTAATGAAATATACATTTGCCAGTAAACACAAATGATGATTACCATATTCATAACTTTAATACAAACTGTTTACTGTACAACGAATGTTAAAATTCCACGAATAACGAAGAATGTTGTATAAGAATGAAGAACAAACAACAAACATGATAATATTACAACTGTTTTAACTCTGGGTTTGTGTTATGTTACAGCGTGTCATGTGACCATTACATCACTAGTTTAAAACAATAGGCAAATGGCATATGCACAAAACAATCCAACAAAGCTACTGACGCTCACACGAGTGCCGTCTTAGTGAGTAACAGGAAATGCCTCCTAAACACGTCTTCAGAAATGTGCTAACCTTAACCAGAAATTGTCTTTATGACGTCACCAGGCAAAGCAGATCACAGGGAACCCTAAAGGGCCCCTCATCGTGGCCTGATACCACGAATCAAAGGCTAACCAATCTGTCGGCCTGTGGCGTCATCTGGACCATTTCCAGTTCAAAATAAATGCAGATCTGAATATTAGATGCAAATGCAAATGTCTACTTGTAAGTGCTCTATACTTAATAATCACCAGCTATTTTCTTTGCATCCATTTTCTTTCTTCAGTCGAAAAATTGCTAATTATCTGACGAAGTGAACACAACATGCAATACAGGCATATTCTAATATAAACAAATCAAAAAAACTTGTTGGCTACACACAGAGAGATTTTACGCAGTCTAAAATGTCTTAACGTTCAGCCTTAAATAAGCAGATCCATTTAGAAAATGATGTGTGAACCCTCCAAATTAAGATATTTTAAATATTTAAATACACAACAATGTTGAATGCACCTGCACAAATAGTAACTAGCGCAAGTAAAAATGCAACAGAACATTTATCATAAGCTTGTCCCGTATTGCACAACCCCTTAAAGTGAGATTACATGTGTATTCAAAACTAGTCTAACTTAAATTAAAAAAAAAAGTCTGCAATAAATGACATCATCACACTGGCAGCAAATGAGAGGGTCCAAAAGGGACCCCATACCTACTTGAGATAATAAAATTTACATACATAGCAGTCCAAAGACTAATTCTGAATTTTGTTTCACCAGTCATTAATGAGCCTTACTGTTTTCCTCTTAATACATGTATAAATTGCACTAACTTTACAAGGTGAATTAGATAATTTCCAGTATACATAGACTTGTCAATTGGTCATGTAATCATTAATATGAGAACAAAAGGCTTTCAAAAAGTTTACAGGCATAAGGTGCGAATTATTGGTGCAAAATGACCAATTATAACTTTGATTTTTTTTAGTATACTGCTGTTTTTCTCAGCATCTCACAATTATAAATACAGTTTTCTTATATCAAATTTCAATTTTTTTTTTTACAGTTAAATTTTTGTTACCATGATATTTTCCTTTTAAAAACCCTGAACTCATTTGCTTTTGAAGCAACAAAAAGTGCCTCTTATGCTTTTGACCAAAACAAAATTCTTTGCATGTTACTAAGGTCTAACTAATTCACTTTATACCAAAGATAAGTAAAGTACAACTAGATATCAAACAAAATGGTTTTCCTAGCCGAATAAACACTGAAAAATGGTCAGTGAACAATTCCTTTCTTGCTAGTAAGTTAATTACTTATAACAGGGATATGAATATGGATCGATACAATTAAATGAATAAAATATCAAGGAAATAACAAAATTCCATTTAAAATGGGTGTGGCAGGAGCTCAGTGATAAGACTATTGACAGTCTTAAATAGATCTTGTACATATCATCAAAATGGTCTTTATTTGGACCCCTATCTTTTTTCTGCAAATCTACATTTTGACCCTCTTCGAGCTTTAAAAAGTGAAAGAAGTTGTCATATCTATACACAAGTTCAACAACGGTTGACTAAAATGTTGGCGTTTTGGTAAAAAAAAAAAAAAATCATGATGACTCTTTTGTGCAACATATGGTCTACTGTCTCATTACTTAAGTGCACTACTATGAGTTTCCACTGCACAGATGTGAAATACTTACACAAATTGTGAAATGTATCCTACAAATACATAATTGTTAAAATTCTTTAACATCTCACTCATTCCAATACTTCACTTTTAATAATTTAACATCTTACATGAAGATTATTGCATTTTCTACATTTACTGAGAAATCACCAAAATCCCAGCTGTCCATAACCTTATCACTGAACTCCCATGTTTGGAATGGGTGGACATACATGTACACTTATTCCCCTCTAAATATAGACAAGATATTTTCCCTTCCAATAAAAGATGAAATTCAACCTTAATACTGAGAGTGGTGAATCTGAAATCAGATCGCTGACATAAGAACTCTGCTCACTATCAAATAATAGTGCATTTAGTAACTGTTACAGATGAATTTAAGTGAACTTGAGTGTTTTCAGACTTAACCTTTATCCCTTAAATATACTCTTTTGTGACACAACACAAGAGAATAAAGCAATTCTAAAAAGAACATTTTCTACAAGTAAAATTCTTTTAAAAATATTTCATGTTCAATACACTGAGCACAAAAAAAGGATATTTATTAAAGAATTTTTTTCTTCATAGACGACTTGAGATTCTGTAGCTTTATCATTTTTTTTCTGTCTTACCAAGAGATACGATACATTATGATCCGTTACCTAAGTTTAAGCTACAACTTAGTTCTTGATCGAAAAAAAAAAAATGTATACAGCAGTTTAAACTACTGTC